GAAGTGTCAAAGTTGGCCACTAGCAACCCCAGCAGATAGAGCATACACTTCTCTCAAGGGCTCCAGCAAAATTTCCAAACAATATTCTCAGATGTTCAGATTGGCCCATATTAAGTCAAGTAGCCATCCCTACTCCAACAACTCAGCATAGAAAGATGGAATAGTATTCTGTTTCAGCCCTGATTAAACCACACATGGAGCAAAATCAAGATGAAGTTATCAAAAGAAGGAGAAAAAAACTCTGGGCAGCAAAAATTTCTTTTTTCCCATTACTCTTTCTTTTTCTTCCCTCACTTTCCTTTCTGGGAAAGGTTCTAAATCAAGTCCTCTTTGAACTTTTTCAGGAGGCTCACTGTTAACTTGATAGTAGTAAACGAAAAGTAAGTTCTCTATTTTGGTGGTTGAATTGTGTATATCCAAAATTTATATGTTGAGCCTAACCTCCTGTACCTCAGAATGTAACATCTGGTGAGTCTTTACAGAGGTAATCAAGTGAAAAATGAGCTCATTAGGGTGGGCCCTGATCCACAATGACTGGTATCCTTGTAAAAAGGAGAAATTTGGAGATGCACACATACATGGAGAAGGCAAAGTATACACGGTGGAGGGAGACAGACAGGGAGATACATATCAGTAGAAAAATAAAAGAAGATTACACAGGTAGATGCAAATTATTGGTAGTTATTGGCTTGGATGAGTATTAATCATATCTTTTGGGGAATGGTAAGTAAAGATAAATTTAAAAAATAAAATTAAAAGTAAAATAAAGAAGGATTGCTCATGTAGCAATGATAGCACCATATTATGATTAGTTCTATTCTGCTTGACTGTGACCCAAATAAAACTTATTATGTAGCTAGAAATCAATACAAAAATAGGATCAATAACTTTCAAACTATAAGAATGAAAAAAAAAAAGAGAGCAAAAGTTGAGAGGGAAAGGGAAAAACACCCCCCAAAATCCTCTTTTTTTTTGGTTTCTTTCTTTCTTTTGTATATTTCTCTTTTCATCGCAGATTTCTTCATGCACCAGTTACTGGAAATCGGTGACCTAGACCAAGCCCCCCAGAATCTCAAAAGTGTTAGAATCTCATCACTCAACTTCACGTATTGTCTTTGGAATCGGGGGAAAGGATTTGTATTTGTCTTGACTGAGTCCATGTTCTTGAAAATGAAAGTTCCGGTGACCATTAGCATTAATGCTATTGCACTTCAGAAACACATGGCTTAGGATACATGTTAGCAGAAACCAGTCTGAAAATGTCACTCAACAAAAACATTTCCAGAAGCTTAGCACTTAATTGGCCTTATTAGCACCATATGCTCATCAGTCTTGCTTGTGGAGAAGAGTTTTCATCGGATAGCATCAAGTTGAAAACAAGGCAGATCATCACACTTTGTTTTGAATTTAACAGCACATTTCACAGTGCCTCTTATCACAGTTTTAAATCATCAGATTAAATATGTGTGTCGAATTATAGCACTTTGCATAACATGTTAGACCCTGGTTTTCTCTGATCCCTCGGGCATGTACGTATGCCCAGAAGTCCTTTTCTCCCCAGATCTGCCTTCACCAGATTGCTTAGCCAGACTTTTGGAGAAATCTTCTTTTACTACTAATACTGGAGAAAACTTGTCTGCATACTCCATTTTTTCATTCTACAAATCTGGTTATTCTAACACATTAGGTGTAGAGGATCATGCAGAAATTAAAATCAGACATTGGATAAAGATTTGAACTAAAAATTATTCCTATTATAAAGGCATTCTGACAACCAAGCACTAATAATAAGAGCGTTTACATATGGATTTCCTGCCTTCAATTTTTACTTTATGAATTTAGCCATGATTTATTTTTAAGATATTTATACAATAAACTAAAGAAATATTGCAGTTAATCATTGTAAATTCATTTCAGAATTCAATTTAAAATTTAGAAGTTCAAATTAAATCTTCACATCACTTTTTATATATAAAAAAACAATAATTTGTCAAAATGGCAATTTAGCCAAAGGAAACAACACCTATTTTAAGAAAGAGAATGTTAACAGCAGCTTTCTTTTTTAGCCATCTTGGCTGTTGGTATAGCTGTTTATATTACACCAAATTAGTAATTTTTGTTGAAAAAAATAAAATGATAAACAAGAAAAATAATACTGTTCTTAGAATTCTACCCAGAACATAAAAGATTCTGCCAAGGAACATAGTAGAAACAAATTTTACAAAGATGTAAATTTAAGCTTATTCTTTTCTTTTCTTTTCTTTCATAAGAAAAGAGACACACAAACTCTGGAGTTTAGAATACACTAGACTGAGAAAACCAAAGGGATTTAGAATAACAGCTAAAATCTGCTTTGTTTCCAATCTATAAAATATTAATAATTGTATCTTCCTCCTATGATTGTTGTGTTAATTACAGGAGATACATGAAAAAGATCTGGCACATACTTGATAAACAGCAGTCAGTCTTATTGTAAGGTATGTATTAACAGTTTGTAAATAAATATTGTAAATAAGCATTAAGCTGTTTCAGGAAATTTTCTCTACTTCCTATTTCTATAAATTACAGTTTTGGCATTTTTCACCAAACACCTTGTTCGTTTCAGTCCACATTGTAAAGACTTACAAGACTCGCTGAAAAGGGTTCACGTTACTAGAACTTCATTGTCACCTAGACAAAAATAATACAGTGCACTTATTAATCTTGTGTGTGGTAAATACATAAATATTTTAAACCAATTACATTCACACATTTTAGCTTGCATCATTCTTAATTTTTAAAATTTATCTATGAAAATATGTAATCTGCTAACCTGCAAAGGATTTTTCATTCATGACAATTAGTACAGTACAAAACTTCATCTCATATTTAAAGGCTTTGAGTAAAACTGCATTATAAGCAAAAAAAAAATTTTTAATGTACGTGTAAATTACTGAAATGAAACATAGTTATGGTAATACATTTACTAAGAAAATCTGTTAAAATTAATCTTAATATAGTCTATGTAGCACTCCCACCAAAAGTATTTAATGTGAATCTAAACATAAGAGAAAAAAATAGCATATTAATCCAGACTGAGGGACAGACTACCAAACAAGTGGCCTGGACACTTCTATGAGATCAATGTCATGAAAGATGAAAAAGGGCTGGAGAAGTGTTCTAGACTAAAGAGACTTGACAATCAAATGCAGGGTAGGCTCTGTGATTGGGTTGTAAAGCAGAGCTAAAAATGATTTATACTGGGTATTATTGGGACATTGGGACAATAGGTTTGACTTGAAAATAGACTTCATTCTAGAGAATAATAATGAGTTCATGTCAAATTTATTGTGATAATAGGCTTGTTATTATGTAGAATGTCTTTGTTCTTGAGAGATACACGCTGAAGCTTTAGGATGTCTGCAAAGAACCTTTAAAATAAGGGAAAATATAAATTATATATAGAGAAGCAAATATGGTAAAATGTTAACAATTTTTGAACCTCTATGAATAATATATGGTTGTTCATTGTACTCTTCTTTCAACTTTTCTATAGGTTTCAACTTTTTCAAAATAAAAAATTGAGAATAAAAAAGCAAAACCACCTCATTTTAAAAGTATACTGTGTCTAACAATAAGTGGGTACTCCCTCCTCCTTTCTCACCCATGCCCTCCTGCCCACATGTCTCTTAATGGTACCAGTTGTCTGTTGGTTAAATTGTCCTGTCACCGCCCTGGGTTTCTGGTGTCATGCAGAAACCACTCACACAATAAATCCACTGTAGCCACTGACGTGTTCTCTTTCAGAAGACAGCGTTCATTCTCAAGTGCACATGATTTATTTAGCTCAGACCATCTGCATGCGTACTTTTTTTTTTGTCTTTGACCATTCAAACCAGAATTTGTATATTACTCCAATTAAAGTTAAAATTTTATAAATTTCATGGAAGGGGCTTTATCAAAAGCAAATATTTCTTTGTTTTTCAGTTTTCCACCTTTAAGTTGAGGGATCACTTCTTGCCTCACAGGATTGCTATGAGGATTAAATGAACAGATGTACAAAAGCTCAGGCCAAGAGTCTGACATTCAGTAAATTTATTGACATTTAATAAATTGTGACAATTATTATTACTCCAACCTTAATTTAAGGAGCAGAGTCTTCTCTGTTGTTTACAAGAAAAATAGCCAGGTACTACCCATGAGAATTCACAACTGAGTTCAAATTTACCATTTCTAATGACAGAAAGTGTGCAAAGCCTCATAACATATTCTACTCTGAGCAAAATGACATCTATTACAGATATCATCTGGTCAATAGGAAGCTGGTATTATGAAAATTCATAGGTAATACTGAAGTACTCAAACTCATTACACCTACAGTCTTTAATCCTAAAATCTATCTTAGATAAACTTTGCTTCTGGCCTGTAGACATAATATGCACAATATGCAACAGTTCTTTTTCTTTTTCATGCTTCCAGCACTAGTAGGTGCTCAGTTAATTTTTCCAGATTAAAGCAAAGATGAGAGAGTAAATAGAATGTTTGCTCATACATACATCCAATTTTGTGATCATGTTACTGCTGTTGCCTAAAGATCAGGCAGCATAGTACAATTATGGCTGTCATCACACATATCAGATGAACTTTGAAACAAGATTAACGTGATTACAACATTAAATTTTAGGATAACAAGTCTTTGCAATACTCATGATTCAACTGTGTCAAACATTATTAGATAGAAGAATAAAAAGTTTTACTTCTGACTTTCTGGGCAAACCCCTCTTCAACAATTATATAATATCTTTTTTTGCTTCCCAAGTGTTTTTCTTCATTTAGAAGCACAGCGTACTAGATGAAGAGGCTGCTCTTTGTAATAGTATGACTAACCTTAACAATGTTCAAGGTGTTTATTCATAACTAAGAAGAACTGAATCTGCACATAGCTTTGCTGCCCCAATCAACCCATCATAGTCATTTATTTCCAGTAATTATTTATTGAGCACCTACTACATATGAGTCACAATGGTATTTTTACCCTTGGTGTATTTACCCAAGAATCATGTTAGATTGTGAATTTTCCAGACCTTTTTTCCTTTTTCCAAAGTATAACTTCTTATATTTATATTTCAATAACATTACTAAGTGAAATGAGAAATATGATGCACATATAAAGTAAATTGAAAGAAAACAAGTAGAGTGCTTTTCTAATTAATATTTAACTTTCGACAATCAGTGCCTAATGTAACCTTCATTTGCCCAGACTTGTTTAGAACACTCATTTTTAACTCAACCTCTCCATAGGTTAACTTTTTATGCTATGTGATTTATGTGCTTTGGTTTTGCTGATCATTAGCCTGAATACTTTTTAAAAACCCTTTTGAATAAATGAGAATTAATCAGATAGCTATTTCAATGATTCACATTCAGTTCTTCAAAATCATATTTTAAATGATTATGAAAAGTTTCTCAGAGCTTTCTCTCTCACGCACACATACACATACACACATACATATACAGCTGGTAAAAAAGAAACACTGTCATTTAGGTTGAGCTTGTTTTTCATGATGAAGTCTAATATGAAGAATTTGATATTCTAACCATTTTGACATCCTAAAGTTAATAATCTAAAGCCATTAACACAGATGGAATGTTTTTCATTTTTGAGGTAAAAGATTAAAATCTTTACTGTTGTTTAACTGAAAAAAAATTCAAGTAAATCCCTATTATTGGGCCATTTTCCAGGATTTATTTTCCAAAGGTAAGGCTTTACTTTAAAAAGACTATATTATACACCATTGTCTATTTCTTTCATACTTCAGGAAAGGATGATATTCTTAAAACAGTTATTAAAGTTGAAGAGTATCGCATTGCACTATTTGAAGCAACAGTAATTTCCAACTTACTTAAATGAAATTTAACTTCCTTATAAAATGTTAAAATATATCTATTAAGATATTACAGTCTTAGATAAACCAATGTCTATTTTTTCAATATTATTCATATCAATAGAGCCTTTAAATGTTTAAAATGTCAATAGTTATTAAATATAAACTCTACTTCTGAAATAGAAATTCAATTTTTATAAAGTAAAAATTTCAATAACGTGTATTTAGTATTGTGTTTTGACACAAGTATTAATTTTGAAGTTTATTGTTCTGAAATTGTTATAAAAGAAACTAATTCTTTTGTTTAAAACAACTCTAATGAGAACAATGTAGAAAGCAAAGACTTCTCAATACAATAATTTAGATTTTAATTTTGAAATAATAAACCTTGAAAGTCTAACAGTTTCTGAAAAGGTTAAATTCATTTTCATCATTTTGCATTACATATAATTTAAAAACAGTAACTTTGTCCTACTTAAGTGATCAACTGACATTTCCACTTATTATTATCTGTTTGTACGAGGTGCATTCTTTTAAGCCACTTCAAGTATTTTTGGAACAAAGCAAAGCATAAAGTAAACAAATGCATTACATATATGGTTGACATTTTTTCCCCTAACCTGTCTAAATGTCTTGTGTGATCTCGAGAGTTGAAGATAAAAGCAAACACTATACAGTGTTATTTGTGGTAGTCTTTCATGTGAGCTGTAAGACGCTGAAACAATACTTTGTTTTATAATTAAGTAGAAGGTGGTAAAATACTGAATTATTGCAATAAGCAATCTTCCACGTAGGTTTTGGAAATAATCAAAGGTTATTAGATTACAAAAGAGTTACAAGCTTGCTGTCACTTTATTTTATTATTCTTTGTGGCAATACGAGCTTTACAAACACTTCTAGTTCTTACCAAGTCATCCTCAGCTAGGGCATGTGATATATGATATATGATATCAACATATCAAAAAAGAAAGCCGGCTGTTATTCCAGGTCACCTACCACATACCCACTCCCATCCCACCCCACCCCCATCATGCCCAGGAGCAATTCTGACCATAAGCCCTCCCTCCCACTCTACCACCCACCCTCCATGCATTCCTAGGATTCTGCAAACACTAAAAGCCAGAGGAAAATTTCAAAACCAAGGCAGATATGATTGGTTGCCCATCTATTGTTATTTCATCTATTCTTTATGGTTTATATATCAGTTTAAAGGATCTTACTTTTTTTCTAGCAGAAGCATTTTCATAAAAGGTGGACTCTCCCTCCAGATCAGGGCATAGACCATAATTGGTATAAACAAGGAGTTTAATCTCATTCTCCTTTGTTAATGTTTGGTGCGACTTGGTTTTGGCTAGTTTTGATCAATGAGCTATGAGGGAAAATCTGTTGGGTGCACTTTGGGAAGAATTTTGCTCAGAGAAGATCCTTTTTTATTTCCTTGAATATTTGAAGATGCAGCCATCTTGTGACCATGAGGACCAAGATAAGTTTGGAATAATAGGCCAACGTTCTGAGGATGGCAAAGAGTGAGCCTGGACCATTGAGCTTCACATTTGGAACCTCCTATCAGCAGACTTCTTGTTTGATGAGATAGATAATTGAATGTCTTCATGGATTATGTAATTAATGGCTGGGTAATCTGTTACTTGCAGTAGAAAATCTTAACTGATTTTCTGAAAATTAAAACATGACACCTTGCTTGTTCTCTTAACTTTAAGCACTATCTAAAGCCTCTTAATGACGCCCCCTTTGAAGAGAAATTCTTTTCCCTTTCTTATGCTGTGCACTTATTCTCATTTCTGAGAAGATCTTGTCACTAGAAAGGAAGTTTTATGACATTATAAAGAACTAAGTACCCACAAAGTCCCCATTTTAAGTATCCTTTCCCTACCATTATGATGTGCCAACTTTTGAAGTATTTAATCTCCTCTCAAGCCCCACCACTAACATTAGAATGTGTTTGCAGAAAAGATTATTAGGTAGTTATATCCTGAGTGTGATTTTAAAACCAAAATGCTAGCTGCCCTTATGTAGTGATTTTTCAATATGTGTACACAGATCACCTGCATCAGAATTACTTGCAGGGTCTGGTAAAATCGGAGTTCTCTAAAGGTGGGCACCAGGAATATGTATTGTAACAAGCTCCCCCATTGAAGATTGTGAGCAACAGGGTTAAGGTGACATTTTGAATAGACTTAGGCTGGAAGTAAAGGAAACTTTAAGATGGGATTCTGAGACTCTTAGATAATCCTTAAGAAGTGGGTCAACTGGGGGCTTTCTTGGACACTTGCCATATTACAGTGCTGCTTTGCCAGTAAACATCTGAACTTCAGACTTTCATCAGGAAAGTGCGGCACAGTAAGGCTTCCTCTTTGTTTTTGTTTTTTTTTTCTATTGAAGATAGTCAGTTTACAATGTTGTGCATAATGTTTCAGTCATACATGTACATACATATATTCATTTTCATATTCTTTTTCATTATAGGTTACTACAAGATAGTGAATATACTTCCCTGTGCTATACAGTATGAACTTCTTGTTTATCTGTTTTATATATAGTAGTTAGTATCTGCTAATCTCAAACTCCCAATTTATCACTATCCCTTCCCACCCACCTTCCCCCTGGTCACCATAAATTTGTTTTCTATGTCTGTGAGTCTATTTCTGTTTTCTAAATAAGTTCATTTGTCTTTTTTTTTTAGGTTCCACATATAAGTGATATCATGTGGTATTTTTCTTTCTCTTTATGGCTTACTTCACTTAGAATGACAATCTCCAGGTCCGTCCATGTTGTTGTAAATGGCATTTATTTTGTTATTTTTTATGGCCAAGTAGTATTCCATTGTATAAATATACCACCGCTTCTTTATCCAGTCATCTGTCACTGGACATTTAGGTTGTTTCCATGTCTTGGCTCTTGTAAATTGTGCTGCTGTGAACATTGGGTGCATGTATCTTTTCAAATTAAAGTTCCATCTGGATATATATCCAGGAATGGAATTGCTGAATCATATGGTAAGTCTATTTTTAGTCTTTTGAGGAATCTCCATACTGTTTTCCATAATGACTGCACCAAACTACATTCCCACCAACAGTGTTGGAAGGTTCCCTTATCTCCACATGTTTGTGGACTTTTTAATGATGGCCATTCTGACTGGTGTGAGTTTTGATTAGCATTTCTCTGATAATTAGCAATATTGTGCATTTTTCATTTGCTTATTGGCCATTTGTATGTCTTCATTGGAGAGTTGTTTGTTTAGGTCTTCTGCCTATTTTTGGATTGGGTTTTTTTTTCTTAAGTTGTATGAGCTATTTATATATTTTGGAAACTAAGCCCTTGTCAGTCTCATCTTTTGCAAATATTTTCTCCCATTCCATAGGTTAACTTTTTGTTTTGCCTATGGTTTCCTTTGCTGTGCAAAAGCTTATAAGTTTAATTACATCCCATTTGTTTATTTTTGCTTTTATTTCTACTGCCTAGGTAGACTGCCCTAGGAGAACATTGCTATGATTTATGTCAGATAGGCTCCCTCTTGCTAATGAAGTTATTTATATAAATGATAACAAGGAAATATTGTAGTCTATGGACTACTCTTCTTCTTTTTTTTTTTTAACTTACATTGAGTCATCTCTGATTAAAAAAAAAAAACTCTGAGAGAAAATGCCTTTCAGTGCCCCACATAAGAAAGGAAAACTGTTAATCAAAGACTGTCAGGAAGAAAGTGACAACCAGTTTGTGGATATGGTGTTCCACCTAGAAAAAATCTTTCTGTCTCCCCTAGGACAGGTGGTTGGGGTGGGATGGAGAGTAGGGATCTCTAATTCCTGCTTTTTGTTGTTGTTTAAATAGTTCAACCATTAAGGAAAGAGACTGCACCACCAGAGTGTTGAGTAACTAGTATGAGTAATATTTATTTATTGATATTATTTTGAGTAGAACTTTGCTGAAAAATAATTCTGACTGACATCTGAAACTTTCACTCAGTAGCTTACAAAATGGCCTATTATTTCCAGGGATCTAGCAAGGAAAAGGAATTTCCCCAGATCATTGGCCAACAAGTCCCCTAAAACACATGGCAATCAAGGAATTTGGCTGAGTTGCCCCTGAGACTTAACAAATATCTAAATGACTTAACCAGTTTATCTTCAT